GTACTGGTTACTACGAAGTAACCTACTAGCGAATTACAATATTAAATCTGACGAACTAGCAATCTACATAATTCTATACATAAACTCAAATTCATGTCTCAAATACGCTTATAAATGAAACACTTCAAGATAATTCTACGTACTAAAACAATCCCAGTAATTAAGTATACATGCTACAAATAATTACAATTATGATGCCGTAATGTTTGCACAAATCGAGTAAATAGTTTACTGACCTTGACGAAGCTTTTCTTTCTCTTACAATTATGGTCCTAAGATTCCCGCCAAATTACTAGTGGCTTCTCTCGGAGTATACTTAGATCTTATTACAGTAAGACGTACTTCTCCCTCCTAAACTGTTCCGGTATGCTAATAAATATCTTAAAGTTGTCGGCTATAATTCGGATCTAAGATTTATTCACACCCTCTGTCTTAATTCCGATTGGATGTCGCTGTAGACGTCCCAATTAAACTCAGCTGAAAATTTCTTCTTGCTGGTCTGTCTACGTGGCGGGTGAGAATATGCCACGTTTACCCTGCGGGCTTCTTTTTCGATCCCGGATCAATGTTTTAATGTCTGGGTGTGAGGACGACGAGCTCTTTGACTTGTGGCTATTCTATAATCTGGGTGACTGGCGACTTGCGTAATCAATTAACACTGTTTGCGGCGATGTTTACACATGAAATAAGATAATAATACATCCAAGTTTACATATTTCCTGATACCGGGATAGCGATACGTGACAATTTATAACTGTCACCCTTTCGTCTCCCGTACTAAACGCACGGGGCTTATTCCTAAATAAGTTGTTGACTAGGATAGATATTAATATTACTTGTAGAGATCGTTTCATGTTTTGCTTTCCAAACATTCTTTAAACGCACAAAGTCATTTTGCAGTACAGCCAATAGCAGTCTTACTCTATAGGTAATAGGAACAGTTGTGATACTATTGTTCAGGGTATACTATTATGCATTTAACAAGGATAATAGGTCCTTAAAATAAGGTTTTCAAGGTACAGAATATAACTATTTCTCTGATATAAATTATATCTGTACACGAAAATGATTCTGCTTTTATGTAATCAGCGCTTTTCTTAAAAATGAGATGAGGTTTGTACAGTATCGACTTTGGATAAGATTTTATAGCTGAAACAAATTTGATGTACCTTTTGCACTAAATTCTTCTTTAAATGCCTAAGTTTGATTGTTTTGGGGCGTGTTTCTGAAAGTTTGATGTTTGGCTCAAACCTTTGCAAACTTCATGTGTTCTTTTTAGACAGGGATCCACAAGACACTCAATATCTGGCCCAATAGTCACGAAACAGTCACGGCAGAAAATTTGAAGTCGTACCCGAAATACCAAATTCAAAACTCGTTCCTAAAATGTCCTGACATCATTTCATTCTGGCTCGTATGCACATATTTAAATAATATAATTGAATTGTGGCCCGTAAGTGTTTATGTTAACTATGTCATTGAATTCTGGCTGGTATATATGTATTTGAACACCATCATTGAATTCCTGCTGGTTCGTAAGTATGTAAATAATATCATTGAAATCTGGTTTGTATGCGAGTATTCACATAATAACATTAAAATCTGGCATGTATGTGCGTATTAAAACAATTGAAATATATCTTGCATATAGATAAGGTCATGTCCCAATTTTTGTTAACACTAAATGTACTCAGAAAGAAATTGAAATTTGAGTACGAGTTCAGATTTTGTGCTAACACAGTTTCGTGACTCCTGGGTTTGGTACTTCCATTTTCAAAAGACGCAATTGACATTAGATGGATTTGAATCAAACGGGTAATCTAACAATGCACGACACCGAATCGGACTGTTGGTTTTGAATGTTAAAATTGTATTAGGGCAATATAAGTACTATGGAACTCATACATATACAAAATATAAGACTTTCCTTGACACACTATTGAAGCAGTCCAACTATGTGAAACAGTTAAGTTCACTGAAAGTTCAACATGATTTCAACCTAATGCCATAACAATTTCTGAGGAAATATTTATGTTAGATATTGTCGGAGAGATACAAATACGATGAGTAGGCTCTACTTGTACATTAAAAAGACGTACTCGTTGACCGAGTTTCTTTATTGTCTACACCTGCAAGAAAATATTCCTTTGTTGAAACTGTTGATGGTCCCACCTAAAAATTATTTCACATTTAGTCCAGCTGAAGTTTATCTTTTATTTTGACAAACTGTTATTCAACAATATCTTCGTAAATGATCATAAAGCCAATGTAAACTCATTTGTCTTTTGCGAAAATTAGACACGATTAACTGGTAAAAGATATAGACATCTATAGATTGGATAAGAACTAACAATAAGACCCTAGTGTAAGAATGCTATTTACACCTTGAAATTAAATTACCTTTGCGTGTTAACATTGATATCAATATCGCGTTATAGATTTACCTGACGATAAATAGCAGTAAGAAAAACTTAATCTTTTTTATGTTGCCTTAATGTCGAACATTTTAATATTTCACAGAGGTCATTGAACAAACAAACAACGAAAAAAATAAATAAATTACTGTTCTCTTATCTACGTACCTAGAAGTGTCCATCCATGATTCAATAATTAGAGCCAGTCGAACTGGCTATTTCGTGAAATGTATGCCTTTGTATATGTCTGCATGTCGGTTTTGTTTGAGTCTTCCGACTTCTGTTTCTAATAGGCATCACATAATTGGAGGTGCGTGCAAAATGTATTGGTCGTTATACTACTATATACAGTTTAGGCCTAAGTGACCTTATTGGTCCTTAAACCATGTATTTTGGCCATATGGCTTCCAATGAGCACACCAGTACATATTACCTTGTAATTTTTAACAAATTGGAGTTCTTAGATTACAGTGTTGTAATTACAAATAGGTGTGAAATTTAATCAACTGCCACTTAAGCAAGCAATATTATTCTACGTTTCTAAAATTTCACTAGAAAATCACAAACTCGAAAACACATGCACAGCTGTCTTCACACCATGGTGTTCATCTATACAAGCCACAGTGGTCACTTGTTAAGGATGACTTTACAACTACATTTTTGTCACTTGTTTTTGAAGTTTTGAAAACTTAAACATAATTGCTTGTTCAAGTGCCAGTTGATCAGCTATTTACAGTAATTTAAAATCATAATAATGTAACTTATAAACTACTGTCAGTATATCAGTTACAAAATGTGGTTTTTGCTGTGCTTGTTAAAGGTCATATGGCCAAAATAAATGTTGTATTGACCAAGAAGGGTACATAGACCTTAAAACTGTTTTTAGTTGACAACCATGGGGCAGTCTCATTCTATCCGTTACTAACCGTTTGCTAAATCAGGACAGTCCTTGAATTGGATGATAAATATATACTGTGAGAAGATATCCATTGCAAGCAGTTGTCCATTTTAAGAAAGTGTCTCGTTTAAAAGGTTTTACAATGCACTATACGTGTCAATAATTAGAGATAATATATAAACCAGGCACACATATATTGTCCTAAAATATTATATATGCATCTTGAATACTTATTGGTACAATTAACTCTTATAACGGGGCCCCGAGTGGCCGAGTGGTCTAAGGCGCTGTCCGTTACGGATCACTGCCATTTCACCTCTGTCTGCGTGGGTTCGAGTCTAGGATTCGGCGAATGTGGATATGTGAGAAAGCTTGCCAGTAGCTTCTCGTGGGTCGGTGGTTCTTTCCGGTGATTTCCCGGTTTCTTCCTCCACCATTAATACTGGCCGCCATGAGTGGCCTATCGTGTGCTGAGGGATGGCGTTAGGCTCAACGGCAACGGCAACTCTTATAACAAACTACTGTGTGAGAGAGAGAGAGAGAGAGAGAGAGAGAGAGAGAGAGAGAGAGAGAGAGAGAGAGAGAGAGAGAGAGAGAGAGAGAGAGAGTTGGATTTTAACGCAGCTTTAAAAAATTCAGTCATATTGCTAATATATCTGCAGTGTGGCAGTTTATGGTGTTATCGAACACTAGGCATCACGCCAAAGACATGTTACATCCTCATGTTCCACGCAGTCATATTATCCTGACACCAGGAAGAACAGTCCTAACACTAACTTTTTAATGCTAAGGGCAGAGCGAGGCAACTATTAGTACCATTTTTATAAGTCTTTGGTATGACTCGGCCGGGGTTCGATCCCACGACCTCCCTTACTCGAGGCGGATGATCTAACTATTAGGCCACATCAACAAACGAGAGAGAGAGAGAGAGAGAGAGAGAGAGAGAGAGAGAGAGAGAGAGAGAGAGAGAGAGAGAGAGAGAGAGAGAGAGAGAGCAATCCCCAGATCAAAGTGAGCTTCCTTGGTTGTCCATTACTGAAATGTGAAATGAAATGTAGCTTTCGAACATGCCTAAGACGTGTAGCTTGTTGTACCTTGTATATACGGTCAACAAATCCTTATTTATTGTGGGTAAATCATTAAACTCTGCAGCTATTACCACAAAACATATTTCTGTGAAACATTTCATAGCCATTAGCACTCCTTGTTTCATTGCTTTCATAAAAAAAATATCGCTGTGACCGACCTTCATTACCCGCCTAATTGAACTCATTTGGACGGAAATTTATTTGTTTTTCGTTCTTTGCCGACAATAGGTACCGTGCGTACTATTTCGAGTAAAACTGCAAACAACAATGATCCTTTAATGCCGTGGCATAATGCATGTGCACATCAGGGTCTATGTTTGTACTTTTGATTACTCTTAATAGACTGCACAGATCAAGATGTATAGTAGCGTATTATGGGTCTGTGCAGTTTGCAGTTTGACTTGACTTTATGCGAGTATATACGGTCTAGCAATATCGTTAAAACGTGTTAAATGTCTATGGTCTAGATAGTAAACAATTTCACCTCTGCGTTCTAAGCTTATATATATATATATATATATATATATATATATATATATATATATATATATATATATATATATATATATATATATATATGCTAGATTATACGTTCACATTGACCATTCCGGTGGCTTAAGTGGTCAAAGCGTCCGCCTCTGATGCAGGATGTCATGTGTTCGAACCCCGGCTGAGTCATACCAAATACTCAAATACTTGTTTTAAAAATGGTATTAGCAATCGCCTCGCTTGGCGCTCAGTCTTACGAGGTTCGTGCGAGGACAGGTCGGCCTGGTATCAGGATAACGTACGTAATTAGGTGGATCATGATGCATACATGTATGTGGCATGATGCCCCAGTGCTAGAAATTATGATAAACAACCACATAACTGGTACCGTAGGGATATCACTCAAATTTGTTAAAGCTACGTTAAAAATACCCTAAACACAAAACATGTACTTTAAGACTGAATAGAAATCGATGCAATATGCGTCATGTGATCTGTCTATATGACTTCCCATCAGTTTCTCGAACTCGGTTGGAGGGACTTAACTCTTTGATCTCATGTTGTCTGGCAAAGGTTGCTGCCCATTGTTTGTTGCCAACTTTTCATTATTTGTCCAACTCAGAAGTTTAAAAATTAAAAAAAGTAAAGATTATCTATCTATTCAAATTTCTTAAAAATTATGCCATAAACTAGATTTTGTTACTTGTCAATGGTCTATAAGTAGGATCTGCTTAATTAATACTTTTTGTATATGATTTATTTTTACAAATAAGTTACATGCTAGCCAGCTATGTGAAGTTCATCATATGTGTTGCTGAATTTCTTTCTTAGAGTCAATGTGTGTGTGTGAGAGAGAGAGATAGATTAAAAAGCGTAATAAACGTCGTGCATAACAGTAACAAGCATTGACTAATTTTTAAAAGATACTCTAAAATGTCTTGATACAATTTCCGTAACTTCATGTATGTATGCATGAAATTTAAAAAACCACCCCCTCAAGAAAAAAATTAATTAACAACAATAATTATCCCAATTCTGATGTTCAATCCGTGCGACAAACTATTAGACAGTTTTTGTAACGTTTATGTGCGAGCGGCGTAAACGCATGTAGCTCGTTAATTAGATACACGGTAGGTTTCAAACCTTTGTGCTAAAACAATGGATGAATATCTAACCACCATCATTTTCTATTTTCTAGTGTATACCATTTAAAACTTTACATAAATAATTATTGAACATTAAAAGAAAAAAAAAACTAACACTCCACCTTGCTTTTGTACATCAACTTAATTTAATCTCTAGTTAATAACTGATTGTAGCCATAATAAAAAGGGATTTCAAGATACGACACAGAAGACTATTATTTTAAGTACAGGTCAATGAGCTTTTTAGAAAAATTACGCTTAAAAGATTGACATTGATTTAATGAGAAAATAAAAAGCACTGTGTGATAGAACATTTTTGCAAGAATCAGTTTAACTGGGCAGTATGGATGGTGACATCAGGATGCGTAATATTTTATTGGAATTTAACTGGTATTAGTGTTAGGATGGAAAAATTTAGCAAAAAGAAAGAAATATAAATAAAACAAAAACTGCATGCTGATATTAACTTTCGATAATCGTCTAACCGGACTAGTCATAGAATTGGTTTTATAGGATTTTTTTTGCACAATTTACAACCTTTGGCTCTTGCAAATTCTCTCAATTTGTTTTGTTTCTGAAGTCGTACCTGGATAATTTCAGTGTATTTTTTTTAAATTTTAATAAATATTGTGCAGTATATCTTTTCATTGTATTTTTGAATTTTAGTGAATATTGTAAAATTTGCTTTTCATTGTATTCATTTTGAACATTAATAAAATGTTTGCAGTGTTCTTTTATTATACTTGTATTACACTGAACTATGCATTGTATTTTTGATTTGTTATATTTTGACCTCCATTGTATCAATGAAACATATATATATATATATATATATATATATATATATATATATATATATATATATATATATATATATATATATATATTTAAGGATGGAATATTTTAGCAAACTGTATTAAAAACAATTTTTTATTCTTGTAGTATAATTATGTACTATTTCAATAAAAAGCATGTTTTTCTAATAAAATGTTTGCAGTGTTCTTTTATTATACTTGTATTACACTGAACTATGCATTGTATTTTTGATTTGTTATATTTTGACCTCCATTGTATCAATGAAACATATATATAATGATGGAATATTTTAGCAAACTGTATTAAAAACAATTTTTTATTCTTGTAGTATAATTATGTACTATTTCAATAAAAAGCATGTTTTTCTATGCGGTATTCTATACATTGTATAACACTTAAGTTGGCAAATTTACATGTCTGCAGCTACAGTATAAGAAATTCCCTTATATCACAAGCGTTTTACGTGTTCATGGAAACATGTCTGACCCAGACGGTAGTAGGTAAGAAACGATGAAATCTCACTTGGAGATTCTGGCGGAACTCAAGCACCGACACAGACGTATGACCTTATTTGGCTGCGTCTTGAGAGAACTGTATAAGAAGCCATGTAATTTGCTTGGTAAGTTCAGTTTGTTCCGCCAAAACATGTAAGTTGCCGTCTGCTTACAATTTCTATATAGTATCAAGACCTTTTTTATGTTAAGCTTTTAAAGTAAGAGTTCAATCTAAGATCAGTAGATTTGCAACATTGGATTATTTTAACATTTCTTTACTATTCTTTAATATAATGTTTTGAAAATTTTAATCGTTTAAAGAACTTAGATTTACTTGTAATTTTTATAGTTTGATTATTATTATATTGGGGGGCCCCGAGTGGCCGAGTGGTCTAAAGCTATGTCTGTTACGTATCACTGCCATCTCACCTCGTTCTGCGTGTGTTCGAATCTAGGAGTCGGCGAATTTGGATATGAGAGAAAGCTTGCCAGTAGCTTCTCGTGGGTCGGTGGTTCTTTCCGGTGATTTCCCGTTTTCTTCCTCCAACATTAATACTGGCCGCCATGAATAGCCTATCGTGTGCTGAAAAATGGCGTTAATCCCAACAACAACAACAATAGTTGATTATTGTAAAGGGCAACGTTCACTACCTAACTTCATGCTCAGTAACAATTAATTCAGAAATGAAATACTCTTTAAATAGTAGAGTTTAATATGTTGGTATGTTAGATTACACTCAGTAAAATATATTTCTACTGAATGTTTGCTGTATTACTCTGAAATATTTAAGTATCTATATAATATTCTAAAAGGCAGAAATTATGCAAATGGATGAAACTGGTAAACAAAGAAATATCGAAGTTTTTTTATGTATCTCTTATATCCATAATTTAGGTTTATATAGATTGATATTGGAATGTAATTTTGTATGTTAAGTGTTTTAATAAAGATCAGTCTGTTACGGCAAGAACAGAAAAGACGTTGACACCAGAGCTAGTCAAATCAATGCATAAGTTCCAACTCAACTCTCAGATGCGAGGAAGGTTGGCTGAATGCAAAATATAATTTTCTTATGGCCATTATTTTAATCCAACAAATGAGAATAATATAATGATAATAATATAGATTTAAAATTAATTCAGATTTTTTTAGGACTTTTTTATTTTTAGGACTCCTTTTTATATTAATGGGAAAATTAAATAAATTTTTTTAAAAGGTCAATTAAATGCAATAATATAATCAGATTCTTACATGTGATGAGATAATTCACATTCTCTGTTTTGCACGTTTGTGTCCAAACGGCCAATCAAACAAACTGTGATGACCTACTCAGATATGGACAGAAAGAAAAGGTTGATAGGATACCATTTATTCTGACCTATCACCCAGATAATCCCAAAGTAGGTAAAATCATCGCAAACCACTGGCCAACCATGCAATAATCAGACATACTAAACCTAATACTTCCAAACAAACCTGTAGTAGCTTACCGGAGACCAAAAAACCTAAAGGACATCCTAGTCAGGGCAAAGCTAATGCCAATCACTAGTCAAAACCAACCTAGTCAATCTGGACCCTGTGGCGATAAAAGATGCAAAACCTGTCAACATATGATAGAGACCAAGACATTCACTAGCACAGTGACTAAAGAAAAACTAAACATACATGGTCCAAACAAAACGTGCAAAACAGAGAATGTGATTTATCTCATCACATGTAAGATCTGTGGCCTTCAGTACGTTGGAGAAACTGAAAAGCTACACAAAAGGATAAACCTTCATAGATCTGATTGGTTGACAAAAAGGCTGTACAGAAGCCCGGTCGCAGAACATTTCTCCTCCCCTGGCCACACTTTCAGTGATATAATACTTATCGCTATTGCTAACAACCACAGCTGGAGTTCCGAAACTAGGAAGGAAAAAGAATCATACTGGATACGCCACCTAAGAACATTGAAACCAAGCGGTCTAAACTAAGAAGACTAGAAAATGAAAACTATGCACTAGTAGAATTTAACATTTTCAAAATCTTCTTAGTATCCTTCAATTTTTACTATAAGAATAACCAGTATAGAATCAAATATCCAGTATATAATCTGCGTTACATAAATGTACAAAAAGTAAAAATAGATGTCGCTTTGGCTTGTAGACTTTTAGAGAGCAGGGGCCAGTTGTTATGTACAAATCTAATGCCGCAATCAGTGACCTAGTACAAAAAAATCTTAAAAAATCAAATACACAAGTGAGGTCAAGAATGTCCATATTTTGAGATACCTATATTAAAATAAAGCATAAAAATATGATCCACTTGACCAGAGAAGTCAGTGGCAGTTCATAGCAGAAGAAATTTATGCACCCCAACCCCAAATTTATACCTGCAATTTTCATGTCCGAAGGTCATTTTTGAAACCATGTGGTACACACAGTGCAAACACAAGCCCTTTTCCTAAATTACAATTCTGCCAAACAGTGTGTACTAAACAGGCTGATGCAGTTGAAAATAGTTGTCATCCAAGCAGTTTTTGAGATATGCTCCTTGTCCCAAACCCACATGTTTACTGCTATGAGAGGCTAGCTCTTCTTCCTGGACAACTATTGGTATTTCACTATCAACATATTGCAGAGTAACTATGGAAGGTGTACATACCTGACATCAATTTCAAGAACAACACAAGCCCGAAACACCTAGTTCACAAATATATCCATATCTTTAATTAGTAGACAATAATTGCTG